TTATTATCCTCGTTGCAACGGGGAGATGCGCCCTTCTTCCCCGCCACCCCCGGAATCTCGCCGAGATGCGATCGGGCGAGGGGGTGTTCCCGTGTTTGGGTTTTTTGGGGGCTGGTGTTGGTACGTGGAAAGCAAATTTTCACGGTGTTTTTGCCGTTCTGTCATATAATAGGCTAGTGCTAAATGCATTCCCCGGGGGGAAGGGGGGCGTGCGGTTAGCTGGAAGAGTTCTTATAATAGGTGCTCTGTGCATAAAGAGAGGGAGGAGACTCGAATATCAATTCGGAGAGCGTTTCAGCATGAAAAAAGGCTTGAGAAGGAGATAGGAAACTCGGTAAAAAGGCTTGGGTGATGGATCTGAGCAAGAGAGCATAGGAAGTCCGTGCCCTTATGAAACTGCTGAATTCCTGCATGGCAGAGCATGCCATTACAAAGGTTGGAGCGGGGATGGGAGCGACTGTGTCGGTGGAGTTGTGAGCAGGCTGAGGAGAGTTTACATTAATCGGCTTGGGAAATCAATAAATGATGGACTTGCACTTACTGCATTTATATTCCTTTTTCAGCGAGGCTGAGCTCTGTGGGAGCACAAACACAAGGGAAAGATGCCTGTGGTGTGGCCCACTCTTCTGGATCTCAGCAGAGATGAATGCAAGAGGATCCTTCGCAAACTGGGTACAGTAAGATACAATTTGTGGGTCTGTATGCTTGCCCTTTTAAGATTTGCCTGCCTGCTGCTTCCACGAAATACTTTAATATGTCTACAGGCAACTTACAAGTCATTTCCTGCATTTTGCACGTGTCATTGGTTTGACAGCCCTGGCTTAAAATGATGTTTGGCAGATGCTCTCTGCCTGAGCAAAATGAGTAGAATGGAATTGTTTTGGTTTGGTAGAATCTCTCATGGATGCCCTGGTCCATCTCTGCCTCGATGTTGCAGTGTTGCATTACTGTTCTTTTTATGACTGTTAACGTGCAATATGATACTCTGTGAGAGGAGGGTCTTTGTCTTTCGATTCTGTATTAGACACCTTTCTGTACCAAAAAAATCATGGAACCCTGGTTTAATTGACACGGTGGGACTGAGTTCAAGTAGTAAAGGTACTATCGTAAAGACTTGAAACAGGAGGAAAAAAATTGTGATGGTTTGTGATTTGCAGTTACACAAATTATCAGGGAAGTGTGGAAACAATGTTCTCTTTTAACTGTCATAACAACAGGAGCTTTTTGCATTGTTTCAAATGTATTTCAGTATCTGAGACCCCTGCTCAATAGATACATATTGGGAGATTTTTTTGTGCTCTGTCCTTGTAAATATGTACAAGGAGACATGCTTTTGTGTTTTGGAAGGTAATAAAAATATTTGCTCTTTCCTCGCATCCACTTTTGGCTACCACAGGAGAGAGAATCCTTTGTTAGACCGTTGATCTGATTTTGTGCAGTCGGTTTTGAGTTCTTGGAGTTGAATTTCTTTTTATTTAGTTAAGGATTTTTTGCCAGTTAGATGATGTGTAGTGTTAGAAGGGAAAAAAACCTTAGATTTCTTTTCAGACTTTCTTCTGAGGAGCATAATCTAGGAGATGACGTCAGGAAGAAAGTTGAGGCTGCCTCTAACTTCCTGTGACGGTCAAGTCACAGCTTTTCTTGTTCTCATTTTACTTGAATGTTAAAAGATGATGTGCTGTACTTCTTAACTGTGCCAAGGTTCTCGTACATTATGTAGCCATCCACTTTATTTTCTGAGAGTCGAGAATTTATTTTCCCTCGCTTTGACCTTTTTATTTCATTTCTTGAGAATCTGGGATTTGTGTTCTGTAGAAACAGACGTTGACGCAGATGTTGCGCAGGCATTGCAACTAAGCTGTACATCCATTAAGGTGACAGCCCTAGGTCTTAAGTGAGGCTTAAGAAGTACGAAAACTAGGAGAAAGTGCAGGATGCCAAAAGATTTGGACCGGATCTGTGCTACTAAATTTTGTTAACGTAGCTCTGCTGGCTAGGAATGTGGAAAAAAAAAAAAAAACTTCCAGCCCAGTTGACGGCGGTGTGCTGGCAGATCCCTGCTGGTGCAGCTGAGCCAAACAGAACTGCAGCTACACCTCCTTCAATGACATAACCTAGGCTGACAGGGGAAAAAAAAAAAAAAATAAAAAAAAAATCTTTTTTTTTTTTCCCTGCTGGCATGAGCTGTGTCCCCACAAGAGGGCCCTGCCAGCGTAACCAAGGATCAGAGCCTGTAGCAGCCGTGTCTCTTCTAGGGTAGAGAAGCTCTCAGATTAAATAGACGCACCACAAGACTGGAGGGAGAAGGAGCACGGGCGGTGGGAGCGAATAGCTGCCTAAGAGTCATATCCAGCAATATTCGTCTGCTTTATAGAGTCCCGCTTTTCCAGCTCTCAGCCCAACATCTTATTTGGTTGACCGTTTAGCAGTAGTGGGGTAATCTGTAATGAGAGAAATGCAGTGGTGTAGGTGAGGCTGAAATGCATCCTGAGGTGTGCAATACCTAGCATTGTTCTGCGGCATTCGTGGTTTATAACTGAATAAGGGGATGATGGTGGCACCTAACACTTGAAATAATGATACTTATTTGTGAAACCTGTTTTGGCTGTTTGATGTGTTTTGTGTTGGAAAGAGAGCGCACCAGTTACTGATTGCTACATGGGCATAAGAGTGAGGAAGCTAGTTATAACTGTTCTGTAATTTCACTAGGTTCTGAAAAGCCAGAATGTGCATTTTTTAAAGCTCTAGTGTAGAGGACCTCTATTAAAAATGCAGAAAGAAAAAAAAAAATCTATCCTTGCTAAATAATTATATGGTTGTATCTGAGAATTACTTTATGTTGTTAACAGAGGAAAATAATTAGTATCTTAAATATTGTAACATGGTTGTCTAAATAAATGTTGATATTAGTAATAACCATTGCATTAATTAGCAAATGTTTTATAACTGAAGCTGTAAATGCTTCTGTAGGTCACTCAGCATCCCTGTGCAAGCTGCATAGTTAACCAAAGCGACTCTGCTTTGTGTTTTGTCTGCTTAATCGGAACAGGAGAGCAGGACTTCTTTTCAGCAGAATTCCTTGATTTGATTTGTAAATTAGCTCTTTGGAATCCTAATCTGAAAGCTTTTCAGAATAGCATCAGTCTTTCTTTTGCAGCAAACTTCAGAGGTGTTAGGTTTTGGCCTGCCCCTTTCATTCTTGCTCTTGGTTAACTGGGATCTGTTGTGGGATTGGTTTGGTCGGCTGCTGAAAGGCACCTATGTAAATATCGAAAGAGTCTGTATTTCTGATTTAAAGCAGGAGTTTCAGTAATGTTTCCTTAAACTGTGCTAAGCATAGAATAGCAAGACTCCATTATTTGGCAGACTCCATTATTTGTGTTAGGTGTATTTTCACTCTGCTTAGTAGGACAAAATTCAGAAGTTTCAGTAGCCTTTAACGATTCTATTTTTCAAAACACCGGTGGCATGACATTTACATAGGTCACCTGGAATTATAAATTCATGTTAAATCAGAGTTGTATTTTTGTGAGTTAATCTTTGTGATAGCTCTACATTTAAGAATAGCTGGATGGTTTCTTTTGTGTTGAGAAGGTTTAATTCAGTCCGTTGCATTCTTTTCAGATTCAAGCAGTTGTACATATCAAGTGAACGGACATAAAAGATTATGATGATCGTATTTAACACACTAGAGCTGATGTTCTCTGTGCTAATTAAGGAAAAGCATTAAGAAAAAATCAGTTGCTCTTTTGGTGATGTATCTCTTTTTCAAGCAAGCTTTTCCGTGGAACTTCTAATAATTATATGTTTTAAAGATTTTCTTCTCCTGTTTCTAGAGAATTCTGAGCTACTCTCCAAATTTGGGGACTGTTTCTTCAAGCTTTCTGGCTGAACTGTCAACTCGGAGAGAGCTTGAAATACTCGGTTGGGTTTATAAACTAGTTAATCCTCTGTGATGATACAGTTGTTCATAGAAAAGCTGTATGCTGCAGAGTAATTGACTGAGAGAGTTCTAAGTCATCAATCTCTTTTGAAAAGCACTAAATAATTGAAAGGCATGTTCCTTTTAATGATTTTGAAAATTAATAGAATACTGTCAGTAATACTGAAAATAACGTGGTTTTTTTTTTTCCTTTGCTGTGAGCATTAAATAGAAATACTATTTCTCTAATTCTTCAGAACTGGAGGCATATGCAGGTGTCATCAGTGCCTTACGTGCACAGGGAGACCTTACGAAAGAGAAGAAGGATCTTCTTGGAGAACTCTCTAAAGTGCTTAGGTAACCCTCACCTTTTTAAAATAAGAGCCAATGACCTGCTTTCTTTTAAGGTACTGGGTGCTTTTTCTATCACTAGTATCACAAAGCAAATCTTAATTTAGAGGAGTAATTCTCCATCTTGTGAAGGTTTGATTCCTGTTCTGCTTTGAGTTTTTAGTAAGGAAAACAACTGTGCTTCTGTGGTTGGAGCTTAACTGTTTTGTTGGTGTTTGGGGAAATACTGAGTGTTAGACTCATTACAGCTAACACGAGTGTATGCTAGCTTGGAGTTTCGTCAAGGTAGGACTTCGAGGTTTTTGGGCCTGAGTTACATCAAGAAAGAATGCTGCATGTTCTGTGCAAATTTTTCTACTGTGTGCTTTAAATTTATTGCTCTCATTAGGAGGTTGGATTCTACTGTTTTGTAGGGGTACCCTATGAACAGTAATGTTCTTTTTATTCTTCAGTAATATTTTTGAACAATAATACATTCATTCTGTCTCACTGTGACAGAAAAAGTTAAGTGACAATCTCTTAAATGTAAATGCCTGTTCCCTTCCTTTCGTCTCCTGAGTGGATTATTCATAAGTTTCATTTTAGCTAGAAGTTTTAGATAAATGTTCATGTCTCCATCTGACTAAAATATATTGCTATTTTTTTAATAGTATTTCAACGGAGCGGCATCGTGCTGAAGTTCGGAGAGCAGTAAATGATGAACGACTAACGACTATTGCACACAAGTAAGTTACAGGTCATTTTCTATGTGATTTCCAAAGGTACCCTTTGGAAAATCCATTATGCCTTAACTGAATGATAGAACTTTGAAGATTGATGGTGTTTTAAAGAACAGTGGTTAAAACAGAGTATGGATGAAGGAATTACTGTATCAGTTTTACGTCACGGAACTAGAAACAGTTATTTAGCACCTTTGCATTTTGGATCTGAAAGCGTCGCATTCACTGTACAAGTACAATATAGGAAGCAGTCTTTTGTCATGAAGGGCTTTCTGTAAGATAGACCAGAAGAAACAGAGAGTAGAGAAAATAGAGAAATCCATAAGCAGGATGGACATGTTTGCTTTATTGATTTTTGTTTTAGCTTTAATTTTATTTAAATCCATTTGGAAGGGTTATATTAAGAGGGACTTAACTACGTAGAAAGACGAGGGAAAGAGGTGGCAGAGATTAGTGGAAAACAGCGTATCAGCACAGAGGGGAAAAAAATGGTCAGAGTGAAAAAACTGCAGCAAGCTAACTGATGACATCAGTGTCCACTGTTCTCTGCTTGATGCAGCTGCTGTGCTGGCATCAACGGGGCTGGTTCCTCCTTGCCTTTGCTTTCGCAAGCTCCACATGATTTTGAGAGGTGGAGGGGAGCAAGAGGGCAAGTGCTTACGTATCTTTGATAGTTGCCTAACAGTCAAGCTGTTAAGAGCTGGATTGAAAGTGTCTGTATTTTTCTTTCTTTTTCTGTGTTATAACCATTGATTTTTAAGTTTGACTTCTGTAGCTTAGGTGTTATGGGGAGGAAAAAAGGAAATCATACAAATAGCAGGCCACGTGGAGTTAGCAATTGTCTGATCCGAGACTCGCCAACATCGGCATACTGTTTTAGTGCTGCAGAGTGACATTTAACATTATAGTGTTTTCATGTTCACGTTTAAAGAGTTAGAAATAGTCTGTATACCAAACAAAACCCACCAAGTTCCTTACACTTCTTCAAAGAAAGGGGAAAAAATAATAAAAAATAAGCATTTAATTGTCAAAATCAGGATTCTTTTCTTGAATCAAGTTTCCTTTTTAAGTAGTAGTTCTGGTTTTAGCATTTTACAGAACAGGCATAAAGTTTGTCCTGAGGTGTCGAACTTCAAACGGATGAGGTATTATAATCCAGACAGGGTGCAATTGTGAAGTGCTGCATCTCTATTTTTCCTGTGGTAATTCTTTGTAAGTGATGGTTGGTAATGTAGTATTTGACTTAAATAATTCTCTAAGTCATTAGGAAAGCCAACTTTGCTAGCTTTGCTATATGCAACATTTGTAGTCTTATTTTTGATTTTAAAAAAGTATTTTAACCTCACCTGAAGTAGCTCTGCTTGAATATGTATGAAGAACGCTGAAGCGTATCAGGATTTAAGAACAGAGCAGATCCTCTGCATTTTACGAACTAATTTGTGGTAGCTTTTGCTGCAACTTGCTTGCAATAGTTCACGTGAGAAGTTGTTTTTCAGAATATATTAATACATTAAATGGGTTGGTTTGCTTAAGAACATAACAGCATTGAAAAATAATTTGCCATTTTGGTTTTGCTGATTTGACAAATGACTCATGTAAAACAATCATAAACAGAAACACTTCTCCGTCTAGATAAGAACAACATTTTTTGGAAACATTCTGGTTTGTGTGTAAGTACTAAGGTTAAGAGAAAATGAGAGCAGCAGGCTGGTTGCTGTTGAGGCAGGTGCAAAGGGTCTTTAAGTCATTTAATGTTCTGTGACCTTTTTTGGGACCACTTTAATAAGTCTGAGAAACTTTTCTGTTCAGGTAAAACAGGATTTGCATTAGAAGCCAAGGGTTTTTCCCTGTAACAAAATAAATTTCAGTAGTCTTATGAAATCTATTGGATGTCTAGGTATTTTTGTCATCCAGAAGTAGAGGGTGTACCAACTCTACCTGAATAGTAGCTAATCTAATATGGGGGTTTTGAACATGACATCCACAGAGCTCTGGCCCTTTAAGGGCTCTGTGAAACAAAACAGTAAAAGAAGCAGCAACTCTTAAATTTTCTATGGGAGGATTTCTACATCAGGTGGGATGTAGATGTAAGGGCTTTCATGAAATGAAGAAAGTTGAAGATTATTGCTCTAGTATGTCTTTAGAAACTGCCTTTTAGACTTTCACTGTTGAAAAAAAGGCACTTAAATAAGAGTACTGAGTATTTTGGAAACTCAGCAGAATACTCACAGAATGTGCATTTCTGTTTAGTATGTCTGGACCAAATAGCTCTTCCGAATGGTCTATAGAAGGTCGTCGACTGGTGCCGCTGATGCCACGGCTTGTTCCACAAACAGCTTTTACTGTTACCGCTAATGCTGTTGCCAATGCAGCTGTTCAGCACAACGCATCTCTTCCAGTTCCTGCAGAAACTGGAAACAAAGAAGGTGAGAGAAAGCCAGGATTCTACTGCATTCTATGCGAATATAAAAATAATGTCACAGTATAAATTGTTATCTTAGATTTTAAGTGTTAGATATTTAAAAAAAAAAATCCGAATCATTCTTATTGCACAGTATTCGTAGAAATATGAAAAAAATCTTTTTTTCTTTTTCTGAAAGATGCCTTTGCAGCATCTGCAGCATAAATCTGACAGCTTTGTGTTAGTGAGCACACAGCCAACTGAAATTAAAAAAACAAATTGCCAGGAAATGAGGGGGAAATTCACTGGTTAACTTGTTAAGCTCTGTAAACTATGAAAACTTGGACTGATGGCTTAAGATTTTGTAAAGTTCTGTAAGTGATGAAAGATGTTTCAGAACGCTTTAAGAATGCAAGTAGGAAAAAAATTTTGGCGAAAGTCAGTAAAATTTTGTCGGTTTTCTTTTTTCTTTTCTTTTTTTATTTTTTTTTTACTTCAGATTAGACATACCAAGTTAACAAGTTAAAAGATTGCTTTCTGCTTTCCCTATGCTTTTTAAATAATGCTAGTACACATTCCATCTAACTTGGCTGAATAGGCTCGAATTATGCTTCATGCAACTGAAGAATGTGTTACACTTCCTGAAATAGGCTGTTTTATTGTGGTGTTGTGAGAAATACTGCATCATTGTACTATTACTTATAAGCAACAGTTTAAAAAAAACTGATTAGCAAAATCAGTTGTTCATTACTGAAGAAATATTTTGGTTTCTTCAACTGATGTACCATTGAGGAGAGGCACTAGCTATTTTCCATCAGTTACCAGTCTAGATATGGTCATTTACAGAAAAGGAAAAAGATCAAAATATTGAATTAATGCTAAAATGAAAAATTACAAATTGTAAAGTAAAACATCAGATTAATACAAATAAAAAAATCTAGAATCAGCAGCACAGATCTCTGGGGATGGGAGGAGAGGAGGTTAGATTTCTATGTTATCTTTGACGGCTGTTAATTCCATGGCCATGCTTAGGTCAAACTGGGGAGTATTCAACAGTAACAGGATTGCAGAGGCAAAGATGTGGATAATGACCCAATAAGTCTTTGGCTTCCATTTCAATTGTTAAAATAGTGATAGAATAATGGGATTCTGCACTTCAGTTATATGGAAGGTGTCTTTTCTCCTCTTCAGTGGTGGTTTGCTATTCCTACACAAGTACCACTTCAACCCCAACATCTACCCCTGTTCCAAGTGGCAGTGTAGCAACAGTGAAGTCCCCCAGACCCGCCAGTCCAGCCTCCAATGTAGTCGTCTTGCCAAGTGGAAGTACTGTTTACGTCAAAAGTAAGTGATACAAGCAACTGATTACAAAAGGGAAAGTAAGGGACGGTCTTGTGGCTGAAGCGTGGACCGAGTTAAACACTGACCTTGGGCAAGTCATTTAGTGCCTTTATGCCTTCGTTTAGTCTAAAAAATGAATTTATGGCTTCCCTTTTTCAGAGAAATTGTGTTCAGGATAAATCCACTCACTGTAAAATGCTGCAGGGAGCAGTAATGGCAAGGACAACAAGAGTGAAAAGTATTTTGAAAATAGAATATAGGGATTGCTGTATATCAGTGGATTTCTAATCCAGCTTGTTCATAACTTGTCTTTAAGGTGGCTCTGCTGGTTGCTTCTGCAGAGAACTTCCCTCTTCCTTCTGCTTAAATAATACACAGAAGTCACTTACTTGAGTTAGAAGAGGTCCCTCCTTTCCACTTTCACAGTTGACCTAGACTTTTTTAGAATACGGTAGTTTGGCGAGCATTTATTTACTTACATTAACTATGTCTCGCCATTTTGTGATTTATTTGGAAGTGAATCTTAGTCAAGCTTGCATTCCTGGGCAACTGTGAAAACTTGGTATGAAATCCCACCAGATACCCATCTTCATGTATTTAAATCTGGAAATCCAGGGCATAACGTCTAGAAACAGTCTTTTTTCTTGTCCCCTCCCACCTTCTTTCTTTGGCTGATAAATCAGCTAGTTGTAAAAGCAGAATACATCCTCATACATATGCCCAGCTCATCAAAGGTAGTTTTGTTTCACTAATAATTAAAAATGTTTCCTTCTGTCCTTATTTGGTGTCTATCAAAATGCAGGTGACAAATAAAGATTAACAGTGAAGTTGATAAGGACTATTTTTATGCTTTCTGTGGATACCTTTAATATTTTAAAAAATATTTTAATCTTTATGCTATATGTGCATGTTTGTATAAACTTCTAGCTAGTCAGAAATGTCACATTGTACATAAATGTTACCTGCAAACCACCAGCCATCTTTAATGGCTATATCAACCCACATTAGGATTTTTCATTTTTCTCATTTAATGCACTAATCACTCAGCTTTAGTTTAAAGGCCTCTGTTGAATTACTACACGGTAATGGGTATAAAACAAGCCTAGATACATGATAGAGGGATGAAAGGTTCTCATTTTCATTCCGTCCATCCCTAGATTTCATTTTTTCCCCACTTCGCGTGCTTCGTTTTGTTCTTTTTTTTTTTTAATGGAATTGTGTGTCTTTCAGAATAAGTTATATCGGTCACGTTAGTTTTAACAAACCTGCTTAAGAACAAACTCAGGAGGCCTGAGTTATAGTCGTGACTTCGCCACTGATCTGTTGTGTAACCTCATCCAAGTCACAGTCTGATTGAGCCATTAACCTCTCCGTGCCTCTGCTTCCTTGCTTGTCAAGTGTGAGTTATAGTCAAGCTGTATTACCTTTTAGCTAAGGAAAACTTTGTGCAAATGCAGTTTCTAACATGAAATTATAGGAATAACGTTCTTGCAGAACCCCAGCAGTGAAAACAGGAGATGAAATGAGCTGTACTTAACATAAAATAATGTTCTGCTAATTTAATCTTACTTTCTTACTTCTGTATTGGGTTTCCTTTTTTTTTGGTGGATGAGGATCACAAACAAATACCTTTCTCTTCAGTATTTCTTGGTGATCCACCAAAATAACAGCTGTGTCCTAACATCTTAGCTGCATGTCGATTTTTGATTCAGATGGATTCTGAGATTCTGAAATGCCTGCACATTTTCAATGTGATTGGTGACCTCACAGTTAGAAGTTTGCATAGTGCGCTCACAGTAATACTTAAAATCCTGTTCATAATAGACCTTAAAGTCATGTAACCGAATCTCTGCTTTATAGATGGAGATCACTGCTAGGCTTGTCCAGGGCCATAAAGTAAATTGTTGATTAGAGCTTTGAAATCCGGACTCGTAGATCCACTTCATCTCTACTGCTACAGCCAGCTAAAACTATTTTTTGGAGTTCAAAGCAAACTTAAAATAGAGTCTTTGCTTCTCTTCTCTTGTTCAGTTTCCCATCTTTGTGTGGATACAACTGTCAGCCTTCTGAAGTGTACCTGCAAATGAGCTGGTACTCATACTAGGAGAGAATCCCATTTTTCAGAAATCACTGGGCACTTTCTTGTCCGTGTTAATTCCTGCATCTTCACTTTTCGAATGCCAGAATATTTAGTTATTTTAATTAGAGATTGACCGTAATTAGGTCTTGACCCTAATTAGAGATTGACTGCCAACCAAGTTTGCTTGGGTTGCCAGCAAGACTGCTTTTTGCCGTGACAGCATTTTTTGTCTTTAAGCCCCAGGCATATGGAACAAGATCTTCAGTCTTATTCTGCATAGGGGGCACTGCATCTTTTTGGCTTATCTCTGTTTTTTAAAATTGTTTAACACTGGCTAATTTGGTAAACGTAATTGCTACCCAATACCTGTAAGAGATTTTCAAGGTAATTAAACTATGTCTTTCTGTAATGTATACCAATTTATGAACATTTTGCCTACTTAGGAGAGTTTCACATGGATTTAAGATCCGTAGATCACACTGCAGAAAGGGTTATCCATTGTTCAACTGAATATTGCAGCATACTTTTTTTTCCTATGTGTGCAGTAGATGATTGTGAGGAAGAATGAACACTTTTGAGGCCGAATTTCTATTGTTTTTCATGATTGTGTGTTAGGTGCTGTTTTATATCTGTTGCACAAAATGCACAAAACAAGGCAGAAGCTGATACAGTGAGGTTTCACCTTCATAGTTAAAGTGTGTCAAAAAAAAAAAAGAAGGGATCTCAAGATGCTGTGTTGAGGTGAATGGGAGAAGGGTAAGGTAATGATAAGGATGGCATGGAAGTAAGTACAAAGGTTGAAATTGGAGCAGACTGCAGAAGGATAAACTTCAGTAGTTCCGTTGCTGTAAACAAAACCAGCAACAACAACAACAGTAGCGTAGTGTGGAGTTTTAAACCGAAATGTGCATGATGTTATCCCAAACATCTTGTTTGTGTAGTCTCGTTAATCAAACTTCTGGAGACAGAATGAAATCCCTGTGCTGGCTCTTATGTTCTTTTAATCTCTTAAACTGAATGAAGTGACCCAGTAACTGAGCAGCTTGGGTCTTTTAGGGTTTGTTTCTTTGCTTTATGGCACTTTAAGTTTGGTCTATATTAAGGACTAAGACCATCTGTGGTGTGAGACAGGTTAGTTGTGACCATAAGAAATAATTTATCCTCTATTTCTCTTATTTGAAAGTGGGTATAAGACTTGGCAAGTTGTAATGTTTTAGAAAGCACCGAGAGCTGCAGACAGGGAAAATATAATTTAGAAAAAGTACTTCTTTTCCAGGTGTCAGCTGCTCAGATGATGATGAAAAGCCCCGCAAAAGACGGCGAACGAATTCTTCTAGTTCTTCCCCTGTTCTCCTGAAAGAAGTCCCGAAGGCAGTGACTCCTGTCACTAAAACTATCACAGTGCCTGTAAGTGGCAGCCCCAAGATGAGTAATATAATGCAGAGCATTGCCAACTCCTTACCACCACACATGTCGCCTGTGAAAATAACCTTCACTAAGCCCTCAACACAGACAACAAACACGACAACACAGAAGGTATGTGGGGGAAGCTGCCAAATGTTACTTTATTCTGGTTTTATCAATGAATAAGATGTGATGTTTGACTCTTCCTCTCTATGAACTGTCTAGCTGTTTTTTAAGGATTGCACTTGGGATAAGGTAATCCCTCTTTAAAACGAACAAAGAGAAAACCAGACTCTTGTATGAATTTAGTTCACCTGTGTGTGAAAGGACCTGGATTGACAGCCGTGGAGACTGAAGCCCTCTTTTTATCCACAGAACAGGTACAGCACAGGCAGCGGGAGTGCAAGCTTCCCCCAGACTGCCCCACCAATGTGCCTCAACCCTGACCTGAAGGGACCACTTCTAGGGATGAGAGGGGATTCAGTCTCCATGCTCATTCAATTCTTGGCCTCTCTGGTGAGACTGCCAACAAGGTTGCCAGTTAGTACCATTTGTGGTGTTGGGTTTTGTGATATGGACACTAGTCCACTGAGAACTGGATCACATAGGCCACTGAACAGCCTTCAGATGGTAACAACTGTTGGTCAAAGGTAATCTTTCTTATTTCTATTTTCCTTATTTATAATTATTCTTTGCAGTAGTAGAATTCCAGGAAAGGTGGCGTGGGCTTTCCCTTGCCAAGCCTTTTGTCTAGAGGCTAGTTTTTTGGGGTCTATAAAGCTTATTCTTGGAGCTGATCAAAGACCGGGGGGCTTTATTTTCCTTTCAGTACTAGTGTGCCATTTCTCATTCTACATTAACAGTGTTACAGTGATCAAAATCAGTTGCATTATTTCAGCTGAGTGTGCCCAGCTTTCACCAGAATGCAATATGTGGAAAAGGTTTTCTGTGTTGAAATTTTGTATTGGATTCAGATTTTTACGTGCCTAATCTATGGCATGACTATTTTCCCATGATTTAGGAAGCATTTCAGATGTGTCTGCTTTTTTGTTCTTAAGATTTAAAAAAAGATTAATGGCTCAGACCAAGTTCATTCTTGGTACGGTTATTAATTAAGGCAGACTTGCCGGGGGGGGGTGGTCTGTGGAATTAATTTGGCCTTGATACTGACAGACTGATGGTTGGCTGGCCACTAACAAGCGTTTTTTTCTAACTGTGAGAGTTTGACTATTGAGCTCAAACCTTCACACGGTATTTGTTCTATTAGTCTTAATTGTTTTATGACTCTATTTGGATTAGCAGAGTTCCCATGTCCCGATTTTTTGGAAACTTTAAAACCAAGGAAGATTAACTGAAGTAATGTGCAATAAAGAACTTGCTTTCTGGCCTTTTCCCACTTCAGAGCTCTTTGATGCTTTCATTTGATTCACTGTTCTTTAACAGTGTCCTTAATCAAATTTCATCTCTGAATACATGTATAGAAATTTGTGAGTGAGCATAAACCATCAAATAAAATGTCCTGCATTCAATGCAGCAAATCCACAGCTAGGATAGGGCTTAACCTACCCATCCTGTTGCTCTTGTTAGGCTCATCTTTTGTGCAGGAATAATTTTTTTGCCTTAAACGACTGTAGTGTTGTATTAAGTGTGTTATATATTGTGGTAGTTAAAGACGGAGTGTATTAAATCTCCAAAAGGAAGAGAATGGACTGTTGATAGGATCTTTTCTGCAGTTGTGCCTCTGCTTGTTCTGACATGGAAATTTTAGGGTTTGCTTTGCATAGTTTTATTTGATTCTCTTACTAATCTGCGGTGATAGGAAAATCGTCACTTGTTTCATTCGGGAGCCATAGTAGCATTTGTATCTGAGCTTGTCACAGTGCCCTCTTTTGTTCGATTTAGAAATGCCAAAATACGTAACTGGATGATTTTGGTGGGAGAAATTCCTTTTAGTAGTTTTAAATTAAATGTCAGACTTGTTAAGAGTCAAATTGGAAATGTACTATTTTAAACAAGTGCTGTTGGATATGAGTGAAGTTGTTGGATATGAATGAAATTCTTCGTTTCTGCATGCCAGCTTTCTGAATTGTTTTGACATTTTAGTAGGTTGGAGGAAGATTTGTCGTAACAGCTAATAATGTCACAGCTCCAATTTCTGGATTCTCTTATAATAACGTCCTCTGTCTAGGACACAGAAGGAGTCTAGCTAGTGAAGCTTCTGGCATTTAATGCCTTTATTTCTTCAGGGACTAGGTTTTGATGTCTCTCAAAATAGAGCTGACGGGACTAATTTCAGTGTATGTTAGGAATTAGTTTTTACCTTAACAATCAAAATCAACAACAACAAAAAAACAACTTGCTTTTTTTTTTTTTTTTAATCAGGCAGTCTTTCTGCTGTAAAAGGTGTGATACAGTTTTGGTACCCATGATGAGGTTACTTGGATCATTTCAACCTACGTGAGAAAATAGTATCTCAATATAATTGTTGTGATTTGAGCTTTAATACTTTTAAATTTTTACCCCAAAATTCTCTTTTCTGGATATACTTCATACATGAAGATCACTAAACTTTGTTCTGCTGTGTTAATTTTGAAAGAAGAAAAAGAATAAAGAGAGCCAAACCTGCTTAGTCACAGGACAGCAATCATTGTTGAAAATGCTTTACAAGCTTTTTTCCTTGCATGATTAAATAACGTTTTATTAAGTGGTAATCTTGGACTGATGGTTTTATCTCTGTTTTTGAATGAAGAACAACAGTGTTCAGGAGTTGTGATTATGCCCAGATTCATCCTACATATCTGTACTTAGTTGAGATGCTGAACTTGCCCTGTTGTACTGTGGATTATACAGGAAGTTTAGTGTGAATAACCTGCCTTTTTTAACTGCAAGTTGTCCTTTGACTGTATTCCTAAATTAGTTATCCTAGGTGGAATGGAGCTGGCCCTAAAATTCAACCACTTTGGAAGTATTTCTGGTGTTAACTGACTATTTAAGAAACAGGATAAAACTCCAAAGGCTCATCGTAGGATCTTTCCACCTGCAAGCCTTGTACCAGAATCAAGCTGTGTTGTGTTCAGCTCATCTGTGTGGTCATAGCCTACGAGCAGTTTCAGAAGGGTGTTTTGATTAGATCAAGGTTAGGCAAAAGACAAAAATAAGAGTGTTGCAAAGAAAACATTCTCTCTGGAGAATGCAATAAAGTCGTAAAGCAGCAGGTGTGGAAACCTTGTCCTTCAGACATTGGTCAGTTGTGGTCAACCTGCTGTGGCTCATGGAGGTAGTAAGGTTTCGGTTTTCCTCAGATCAAGATATTAAAGGCTTAGCTACGTAGTGGGGACTGTAAAACTAAGCACTGGAGGGAAAGGAGAGGCAGAGGCAGCCATGGTGGTGAAATTTGCTGCTTTTATTCCATCCATGTGGTTATCTCTCTCTTTTTTTTTTTTTAAACAAATTATAAACTCTTAATCTCTTACTGCTTGATCCGTCACTTAAGTCTGTTTCTGGTGCCATTACCATATTATTTCTTTTCTGTATCGGGCAAGGTTTTGATAGTCTTTGGGTAGTAATGTTAAGACTTGGTTTGAGCTGACCCAGGTTTTCTTTACTCCTCCTGTACCTTTTTTCCTATGTGCTTTTGTTGCATCAAATCATTAATAAGTTTTAATTTTCAAAGTTTTAATAAATGAAATTTTTGTTGGGACAGTTGCATTATTAAAGCAATTTCTCAATATTCTTGCATGGTAAACTGAAAATATGTTGTATTTCTGTGCTGAGTGTTTCTATTTTAACTGTGTGTTTGTAAGTACAAGGAGGTACATATAAGCAAAATAGAAGAAATCTCTTTACATAAACAGTCCCCATATTCAGTACTTAAGAAATGCTTAGTTTTCTAGGTCAGTTGCATAAGAACAGACCTCTTCCAATGTTATAATGAATTCTATGTTTTTCTGTGTCAAAACAGATTCATTGTAATTGTAACTTGCGCTAGGGGTAATGTTTATTGTCTTTAGACAAATGGTTTTCAGACAGATAAGAATGAATTTCTTGCTAATGAGAGCACTAATTAAAGCAGAAATCGTTTTAAACCTAAACCAAGTTTTTCACTGATGAAATATTGATTGTTTACAGCCTTGTGGATCAAAAATATTTCCCATTACTGACTCGGCAACTGCTTGTTAATTGTTAAAGAGAAAAAAAAAATCATCTCATTGCCATTTCTTGATGTATGTGCAAGTTTTGGGAGAATGGTGTTTAAAACGCGCTTGAAATCCCTTCAGTTCCATTTAAAATGGTCTTCAGGCTTCCTGGCCCAGTTTAATGAAGCCAAGCAGTTCATTTCTGTCTGTTTGCCTCATGAGATAATTCTACTTTAATTAGATAGTAATTGTTTTCCTCAAAAAAAAAAACAACAACAAACCCAACCCCTTCTGATTTTAAGGAAATGTTTATCACCACTTCTTCAAACTAATTGAAATTTTTTGTTGCCAGTAAATGTGAATATGACACTCTTAATAAACATGTATCCCTAAAACTAAATACACGTTGACAGATATATTACTGAAATTTTATGCTTTTAAATAAATGCAAAGAACAAATGAATTTCTTCTTGTTCTTTTTCTTCTTTCAGGTGATAATAGTAACCACCTCTCCAAGCTCAACTTTTGTACCCAACATCCTTTCAAAGTCCCACAACTATGCAGCAGTTACAAAACTTGTCCCAACATCAGTCATTGCCTCAACTACTCAAAAGCAACCCGTGGTTATAACTGCTTCTCAGTCCTCTTTGGTCAGTAGCAGCAGCAGCAGTAGCTGTTCCACTCCCTCCTGTACTGCAAATACTATTGCTGTGACTGCTGTAGTATCATCAACACCGTCAGTGGTTATGTCAACAGTAGCACAAGGTATGGCGATAACATTATACTTATAAAAGGTCTTTTACTGATGAATAGGACTTTGTTTTGAGAATAGCAGAGGGGAGAGGCACTTTATGTTTACATATGATGAGTAAAGCACAGGAGATGTGAAAGATGCCTACTGCTGAAACTAATCCAAGATACTCCACAAAAATTCTTGTTGAACTCTTTCACTCTTTACTTCAATAATTAATGTGAAGATACTCTTGTTAGAGAGAATGTAGTGTGACAATGTGGCATAGTTTTTTTATTATGAAAAGATTTTACTTGCAGCATTAAACTTGCAGCCTCAAAATGATTGGCTTTAAGAACTCTGTCTGATGCATGGAAGATGGATGTTTCCAATATTTGAAGATGATTGCTTCTCTGAAAGCGTGATTTACGAAAACATGCAAAGTTAACATCAAATAAATACAACTTACGCTTGACATGCCTAGTCTTTAGAATATTTCTTGTGGTAACTAATCTCGACGACAGTTCTGAAAGGTAGAGAAGTGTTTACACCATTTTATCTGTGTATTTTTTCAGCATGTCAGTTTTCAAGTCCTTAAAAATTAAGATCTGAGTGGCCCTGGATTAAAATTCCTAGGTTTCTGATTTCTAATTCCAACTATGTATGTTAGCTTGACTGATTCAGCTCTGCAACCACTAGCTAACATTTGGAAGGGAAGCTGTGGATGAATGAGAGCGCCTCAGTGAAAATACTGTGCCTCACAATAACAAGTGTCACATGGCAATTTTTCCTGGTCCATATTTTCCATTCTTGTTCTGTTCTTCCACAAAAAGTTGGGCAAACCAAATCAAGGCTGAAGAGGTATTTTGTCTTCCATATTGCTTCTATTAATCAGGTCCTGAAGATACTAATCTACGGAGCATAAGGGCTTACAGCAGAATTTCATATTGTTTGAACTGTGGATTTTTAGTTGGGTTTGATCATGGAAGAGGCTGTAATTCTAAAATATATTAGATGGAATATCTCTTTAACAGTTTTTTGTTCCAAGACTATTGGTGTCATTGCAGAAGATGCTGGTGAAATGTTTTGTGACATAAACTGATAATCACTCCAAATGTGAAGAAAGTTAAATTCATGAATGAAAACAGCTGACCAAGGAAACGGAGAAACCATCTTAGATGATGCAGTGAGGAAAGGGTTGCATATTTAGATTGCCAGAATTGTAGTTTATTATGATTTCTATCATTATCACTGCCATCTGTAAATGTAGAGAAATAAGAGAGGAGATTTTCTTTCTGTTTTCCACTACAGGCTGGGACTTGGTTAAAAACTGCCTTCATAAGACATGGACTTTGTTTGCCTTTTTTGGTGCTTATGGATGTGCAGTTTAGAATTGTAGATGAAGCCAAATTTTGCTGGAAATGTTGTGACAACTATGTAAGGGAATGACAGAAATAAGTATTAAGATTTATTTGGGAACTTTGTCTTTCCATTTTATTGCACACTTGTTTTAATCACTTTATTACTTGTAAGATTGCCTAACCTATCAGCACAAAAAATGTGTGTTCCACAGTTTTCTAAATTACAGACCGTTATTTGATTCATTCTTTTAAAATAAGATTGTGCTCACTAACAGATACTCCCTTCTGATGTTGATGGGTTTGATATTTATCATCCTCATATCCTAACTTTTTGTGGTCATGATTTTCACTATAAATATTTTGCTTTCTTGAAGCTTAAAGATCAGGCTTTGAAAATATTTGTGAATTATTTGTAGTAGAAAAAGTGCAGGAAGTAGACCAGGATTGTGGTCTTTCCATTAGCTGCTGTTCTGCTGCCACACTGAAAATCCGATAAAGCTCCCTTGCCTCTGAACAGAGTGCTTCTGCTGTGTGGGAGCTTTTTTTTGCTCATGTATATCTATGCATCTTTCAGTAGTAAAGACAGTTTAAGTGCAGAAGTATGTAAGAAATTGTAATATCTTTCTTTCGTGTTGCACTGTTCAATCTTAACCCATTTACTCTTTCACAGGTGTGTCTACATCGGCAATTAAAGTTGCCTCTACCAGACTACCTTCCCCAAAAGGTTTGGTTGGGAATCCAACTCAGATCTTAGCACAGTTTCCCAAACAGCATCAGCAGTCCCCCAAACAGCAGCTGCACCAAATACAACAGGCCCAGCAACAGCAACAACAGCAGCAACAGCAACAGCAACAACAGCAGCAGCAACAGCAGCAACAGCAGCAGCTGGTGCAGTCTTCTGTAGCTCAACAGCAGCCGCAGCAGTCTCAGTTGCCACCTGGCATCAAGCCCACCATTCAGATCAAACAGGAATCAGGTAGTTGGAGTTAATCTTGGGTCATATTGCTGATCAGTGCGGTCTAACCACAACTCAAGAAAGTAGGGCAGAATTCTGTCCCAAAATGTGCATGGGGAGCTATCATTAAGGCATAATTACTTGAGTACGGGATTTGGCATTAAAACTGGATAAAAGTAGATAGTGAAGGATGTCTTAATGTTTTCAGGTAACAATAATTGAAGAATTTGGTTCTGTCACTCTTCTTGTTTGGTTCAGGTATACAGACCGTGCTTTAAGAATAAATGTTTTTATCTTTAGAGATTGAAAGGTATGTAAATAACTTCAAAAGTAACGTGACTGGCAACCTGGAAGACACCAGTTTTCTGAAGATCCAAGAGCTGTTCAACTGTATCAACTGGAAGAAGAAGTTAACCCATGTTTTCATTTTTTTCTTGGGTCCAGAAATCAAAAATTACTTTTGAGGTACTTGTCAAAACAAATACAATTAGATCTGAGACTGGAAGTTGGACTGGATTCTTTTTGTAACATTGATTCATTCAGTTGACTTTGGGCAAGTCGTGTCATCTTTCTATGTTGACTTTACTCTGCTGTAGAATACAGTTCTTATCTCCATAAGATGTAGTAAGAAGTAATGCTTGCAAAGTTATCTAATTCTAAAGGAAGAAGTGCTATAAAAGTGCAAAGTATTTTTATGTCCGTATTTTATATTAATCATGTCAGCAAAATTACTATTTTATATTCATACTATTTAGATCAAAGAATTAAAATAGACCATAGAATGAAAAACGAAACAGCCCTACTTCTGTCCTTTTATAAATTTCCTTTTGGGTTATAGGACCATTGCCCAAGAAAAAATACCCACTAATGAAGACAGATAAGAGGCCTCCATCCTCCAGTCACTGAACAATATTTGATCAATAAGAGCTTCACTCCTTGCCTTCTACCATGTTAAAGTTTCTTTGGAAATACCATCTGATACCTATTCTTTCTGGAAGATGTGAATCAGTTTTCCCAGAGACTTTGCTTTTTATCCAGTTTTGTGTCTGGATGATGCAAAGGCTTCAATTTCTCTTTCCTAACTTCATTATTTAAGTTTGGAGCTTACTTGCTCCGTACTGCTTTTATAGTCAACGTAGAAAGAAGAAAACATTTCCGGAGGATGTTTCATGTCCCAAGTGGACAAAATTGTTCACCTAGAAATATTTCTGTACAAATGTAAGTGCCTACATTTAGGTGGGATTAATTCAGGCTGGGTGTTTCATGGCATTCGACCAACACAAATGCAATACATTTACCTCGTCATGGAACAGAACGTAAGATGCAAGTGTCCTGGATGTACTTTTGAACAGATGACATGAATCTCCTGGTTTGCAGCTGAGAAGTGAATCTCGCAGAGGTGCCATTCCACTACACAAATTGAGAGGGAGGGAGCAAAATCCTTGCTGTACTAAGGTGTCCTCATCCTTTGTTCTTGCTGATTCTACTCAGAGCTTGTTTCAGCCCAATTCCTTCGTAGCTTCAAGACAACCAATAAATCAAGAGGAGAGAGAGCAGTTTACTTAAAGCAACCTTCCCTAGCCAGTGTCGCAGTTGTTTCCTTACACCCACTAATACTCTTCGTGCAGAAACTTTTAAAATTTATTCAGAGGGATGAAATTCAACTAGGCTAATTAAGACACAGTAGAATTTACAGACTAAATTGATGAAGAACTATTTCACTTTTAGATGGTTCATTGTATATGAACCAATTCAGTGTTGGTTGTAACCTGTTGGTTCCTGGGAAACGTTCTATTTTTTGAATCATGGACTAGAAAAGGTTAAAAATCACTACAACAAATCAATGATGGAATGGAATCCCATGCCTCAGTGGGAGTGGCTAGGAATTAAAACAGGCACATGAAAGGCAAAGATGATGACTGTCTTGTTATTTGCAAAACAAACAAACAAAAAACCCAAGCAAAAAAACCAACCCAAACAAAAAAAAAAAATTCTTTTCAGGATCAAGAATACATGGGCTCAGAATAGAAGCCCTCTGAGGCTACTTGCCCACTAGGGCTTGGTCTGAGAAAGCATTTCAGAAAGTAACTTTTCGTGCCTGTATTTTAACAGTGACCTTTCTCCTTTCCTAGGTGTTAAAATAATCACTCAACAGGTGCAGCCCAGTAAAATCCTTCCCAAACCTGTTACAGCGACCTTGCCCAGCAGTAGCAATTCACCTATTATGGTGGTTAGCAGTAATGGGACTATCATGACAACTAAACTGGTCACTACTCCCACTGGTAAGTTATGGCTCTGAGAAGGGAAGGGAGGGTAAACCCAGACATACAGGTGATCGAAACATGGTTTATTAGGGTAAAAAAAAAAAACATTTCTCTCATGTGAACAGTGAACACAACAGCACATTCACCATCCTGTTAGTATTTATTCCAGATTAGGATTTTTGCACTGAGTGCTCTTTTATTCCTCTTACAATCTTTTTGAATTGGTACACAAAAATATGATCATTCCTTCCCCACTGGGTTTATTTTAAAGGAAGTTTTCTTGCAACTTACACTGATACTTTGCACTTCTGTAGCACCTTATATTAGACGACTTACATTAATTTAACTTTTTAGGTACCTCGAGCAGATAGGTCAGCATCATTCCTATTTTACATACATGGACTTTAAAAGACAGGTGACTTGCTCATAGTCCTGCAGTGAATTTATAAAAAGGCCACTAAACTGAACTTTAAACTCCCAGTGTTTTTCTGGGGATCTAATTGTATTTGTTAACTTATTGGTTAAAGATCAGAAATAATGCAGACTGTTCAGATTGTAAACTTGTATGAGGAAAACTTGAAAGGCAGCTTTATCCTAGTTTTCAGAAAACTCTAACTTACTTCCTGAATTTTTAGCATGGGTTGGGAATATTAGCATAAACTAATGGTTAATATTCTTTTTTTAACCTTTGAAGTACTTACAAAAACATTAAGTACATAAAAAAAAATTTAGCAGTTTTGCAGTTCATTTAGTTGGTAAAACCGGTATTGTGCTCTCTTGGATTTGAACACATGGCTTTCTTGTTATAACAAGCTGTTTTGCTCTGTGATCTTTAGCAATTAAGGTCTATAGTGCACAATCTGCAGCAGCACAAGCAGAATGGCATTACAGTGTTCGTGTAATTGTTGACTCATACTATTATTTTGAGCAAGTTTCTTTTGTGGACTCAGTTCTGTTTCCATTCTGAGAAGGAGTAGGTCTGAAAAAACAGCGTTTATACCATGTTTCAGGAGGTTTCTTTTGTACTGCTAAATGCTAAATCTATAAAATCGCATTATCATTGTAAATTTTATTTTTCTCTTAGAGTGATATTTAGACCAGTCAGTGGTGGTGTTCTTTATAAACAATTTGTCATGTAGGAGAAGTGAGAGTATAGGTGTCTCTGAAGAGAGGAAGGGATCAGTTCTGGTAGTGTCATCAGATGCCTAACTCTTGGGCATATAAAGGAGCAAATGGCAAACATACAGGCAGAATCTAAACACCTATTGAAAATTAAAGTCTTAGGCACAAGACATGAATTATAATATGGCAGTCATGGAACACGTGGTAAAATACTTCAGAAGACTCTTACATTAATTTAAAGTTGGTATATACTTGAATATTTCTCTGTGATTTTAAAAAGTACTAGGAGAGTTGTAAGGGTGGTAATAAATTGCAGTGTGGGGTCTCTTTGAATAAAATCTAATGCTTTTTTTCTAAACTAACTTATTTTTCTACAAATACTAGTAGAGGATCATGTTCTAACAGTAAACTTTCTTGTTCTCTCTTTAAAACAGGAACTCAAGCAACATATACGCGGCCAACGGTTAGCCCCTCTATAGGGGCTCGGATGGCTGGAACTCCAGGGGCTGCTACTTACGTGAAAACTACAAGTGGTAGTATCATTACTGTAGTTCCAAAATCACTGGCTACGCTGGGAGGCAAGATTATCAGCAGTAATATTGTTTCTGGTAGGCATATAAGTACTTTGATATTAAGACTTATTTCAAAAGTAACTTTAGAGTTGCTCTAATTGCTCAGGGCTTTTCTGTGGGTTACATGCTCAAATAATTATTAGGACCTTTATTGGAGAAGTTGTTAATTCAGAAGAAAAATAGCTGAGGATGAAGAAGAAAATAATGGGTAGAAGTTATGGAGGTAAAGTGTTCTTAAGGATTGCAGTAGTTCTTGTGTTTAAGAAGGGAACATCTAATGTAGGGAAGCCTGGGAGGAAAAGACAAATGTGGGGAAGGAGAACTATTATATTGTCCTCTGTTAGAGGGCAGAAAGATCAGAAAACTGTATTAGCCCCAGTTTAAAGCATTTTATAATCCGGATGCTGCCCTTTTCTATTCCACTGCACGTCCAAAGGACCAGAATAAAAACGAACTGCGTATGTTAAATTCAGCTGTGCAGTCTCCACTTTATCTTGTTCTTCTTTCATCAGCGTCAGCCTGTCTTTCCCTTACCCCATGTTCTAACTTAAGTTTTTCTTCCCAGCCTCATGCAAACCTTGCTGCTTATCTTTGTTAGTCTGCTGACCAGCCTCGATGCTCTCTGCCAGTATATCCTCTAAACATAGGGTCTCTTTAGGACCAGGACCAAGCACTCACAGCAGTCACAATTTCTTAGTGTCTGTTTTGGACTTCAACAGTGCTAATGTAGAGGTCTGCTGCATTTCCTAGCTAGGTGCACGTGTACAGCAAGATCCGGTGGGGCTGTTTATTCTGTCTAGTAATATCTTTAAATTACTCAGAGGTCCCCTTGTTGGTGCTTAGCAAAGACCTGACATGGCACCAGCCAGCTCATGTCACCGGAAGGTGCTGCACAAGCCATCCACTAAACCCAGGCTGGGGTGTGGTCTGGTAGAGGTACCTCAGTTTTTTAGACTTGATTTCTACAAAATGTTATTTAGGGCTGATACAGTAGCTTCTTTGGGAACAAGTAACTTTTTTGGCCTGTTGTGTGTATGATGAGTTGTTAAGAAGATTTCTAGATCTACTAGTGGGTTTATACACAAATGCAAGTATTATTCTCCTTAGCCACCAGCTAATGTGGGGAAACCCTTGGCTGGTCCTGATAAGGATGATAATGATTGTCCTGAAACAACAGAAGTTTGGAAAGGATGCCTGCTTTTTGTTGTTTTGTGGTCGGCTTTTTTTGTTGGTTGGTTGGGTTTTTTTGTGGGGGTTTTTTTGTTGGTTTTGGTGGGGGGGTGTTGTGATTTTGGGGGGTTTGTTTTGGGTTTTGGGATTTTTTTTTTTGCTAAGGGAGCAGTCTTTAGATGCCTCTGAAGTCACTAGAATTAAGTAAATCATGATCTGGTCTCAGCATGTCTTCCCTTTCCCAGAATTAGTAGAATTATTGATCTGAAATATGTCGTGAAGTATCTACAGGCATGACTAATGGGTAGAAGGTATTGAGGGGAACCCTTGGGTTTGCAGCTCTGCTGTGACTGCGTGGTACTTTCTTCAAGGATAAAGTGGAAGGTGTTGATAAAAAGCTATCTGAGATTGATTTGTAGAGTGGGCATCTAATCTTTATATGTTGAGTTGGGTGACGTAAATTCCTGTTCCAGATGCTGCCCTATTTTTTTGTTGTGCTATCAGATTTAAATACAATGATTCCTATATAGCTCACGAACTTCTACAGTGGAAGGAAATGTACATGTGATAAACTGCATGTTATTTCTTTTCCCACAAAAATTTAGGAACTACAACCAAAATCACTACAATTCCAATGACATCCAAACCCAATGTGATTGTTGTGCAAAAGACTACTGGAAAAGGAACTACAATTCAAGGGCTTCCAGGAAAAAATGTTGTCACAACGCTGTTGAATGCTGGGGTAAGTAAGAGTTTCAAGTCTCAAATCGATAGCCAAGTGAGAGGCTGTGTGGTGGCTGCTGCATTCATTCTGCTGAAGTCCCTATTAAAAGCAAACTGTGCATGAGCTCCTTAACAGATACAGTATGCCGTAATGTCAGGGATGTTTGAAAAGCAACTATGTTTTGCAGGATGTGAAAGATGCTTAAAACAAGCTGGGAATGTTCTCAAAGTTGAAGGAAAAGAAAAGCTTTTGATCTTGCCTTTTTTCCATGGTTAATGATTTTGTAATCTTGAAGGGATTAAGTAGAAGAAGGTTACTAGAATCTTACCCTGTTTGTGCTGTAGTGAGAACCATGGTCCTGTGTTATAAATTGGCATCTCCAACCATTTGTCTTTGTATGTAAGGGGCAGAAATAAACTGTCCCTTCACAGTAAGGGTACCAGCTTTCAATTTATGTGGTGTGTAACACTGTAACATCCTGTACCTGAGTATTGTATAGTGTTGAATTATTTTTTGGATAACCTGATGTGTAGCAAGAACAAAATCAAGTTTCCAGCTTCAGCTGGGTTTACCTGTAAGTGCTAGTAAATAAAAACGATGAACATGCTTTATGTTCCTACACGAACATGTGAGATTTAATGCATTAATCATGTAATCTTTAAAAGTCTATTTGAGTAGCAGAGCTGAGTAGGGAGTTTTTTTTAAATCTCTTAGGAATTTTTTTTTAAGATTTTGAACTTTCCTAGTTTACAAAACTGAAAGCTGTATTTTCACACAAGTGGAAATCTCGTGATGTTACACAGTAGGAACCACCAGAATGTGACGATATTTCTGAAACAAGTATGGTTCTTCGGATTTCCCACTGCTTGATAGCAATTGGTAGGAATACTGGGAGAACTGGCATGTTGTTCCTCATCTGGTTTGTTACTGTGCAGAGCTAAAAGAAAAAAAAAAAGCATGCTCAATGTCTTTGCTCTTCTTAAGCTATCAGGAGTCTAGTCATATGTCAGCACTATTCCAAAGTCAAATGTTTCCTGTGAAATAGCTGTGAATCTGCTTTTTTTTTATTAAGTGAACTTTTAGTTTAAAAAAAAAAAAGTCCATATGTAATTAATGTCTTCGTCATGAGGATAATACAAAGATCAATATTTAAATAATTTCTTTTTAGAATCTCAATTCAAGTTTTGTCGATGTTTTGCCAAAGTTAGTGTTAATAGAAATAAGAGGTTTTAAAAAACACTTGCAAAGGATTTGAGGAAAGTTCCAACTTATGTGAAATCTTTGAAGCAACTTCAAAAAACTTGTCAGTGTCTTTTAGTTATTCCTTTTTGTTCACCTCTTCAGAGCTGCTCAAAACGTAAAGTAATGGAAAAGGGGATTTTGGTAGCTTTTCCATTCAAAGCCATAGAGTTTTTTGTTCTTGGTCTTCAAATGTTTTTTTGTGTCAAATAAGTGTAGTTGCAGCAGCAGCAGTTTGATTTCATGGTACACACACTCAGCTATAACTGTAAACTTTTAGAGAAGTGGGTCTCTCTGAAGAATTTCACTGAGTTAACCTGTAAACTTTGACTTCTCTACAGGGGGAGAAAACTATTCAGGCAGTGCCAGCAGGAGCAAAACCTGCTATCATCACTGCCACAAGACCCATCACAAAAATGATTGTTACACAGCCAAAAGGAATAGGGTCCACGGTCCAGCCAGCCACCAAAATCATCCCAACTAAAATTGTTTATGGTCAGCAAGGGAAAACGCAGGTACAGTGAGGACCCATTTCTGTCTTGAAATGTACCCCTAAATTTTAATGAGAAGTAAATAATTTTTCACTGTGGTGCCGCATTTGTTGCAGGATTCATATATGTCTATGGGCAATGAGACTTAGGGGTGTAATGAAGTGGCCTTGATTCTGATTTCTTGAGCACAGTGTTTGCATTTGTTAGCTATTTCTGGAGGCCTAGAGCAAGCCAAAAGGATTTACTAAGCCTTTTACATAGCTGAAACTGTCTGGTCATGGCTCTAAATGCCTGTTTAAGTCTTACAGCTAATGGCTAGATCATAAGAAATAAAGACGCAGAGTCTGGACATAGGTCATCCATCAAATCTGATGTTTTATTGAAGTTATTTTCTGGTTAATGTATGTTCAGGTTGTCCCTGCAACCTTGTCTAGTTGGTGGGGCTGTATACAGAGAATCTGGCTTATTTCTGGATGCTTTCAGTTTCAGCTTTTTCTCTGGTTGCACTTAGTGTTTAAAAGAACTAAACTTTTATCAGATACGATATTTTGTGCGTCTTGATTGTTCAAGACTCTATTTATTGTGGGCTGCGGAAGAGAGGTGCTTGTCTTTATCAGTGCAGTACATGTTCCAGCTCACTTGCATAGCTTTCTGTTGTCACACCATAGTTGTATCCAGCCCTGAAAAATGACTGTTTAATGTTAAGTATTCCAAATTACTGAGTGAGAAGTACATTCTTGTGCATTGCCATTTACTTGGGCTTTGTGGTTTAACAATCAGAGCTGCTGAATTTACAGGTAGACTTTTTCAGTAAATTACGAATATTATGTAGGTCTTGTAATTGATCTATTTGAGTGGCACCCTGTACTCTGATTGCTCAGATCTGTTTTCTTGAGTGCTCTTACTATACACAAAATTTATCTTTCTAATTAGGTTCTCATAAAACCAAAGCCAGTGACATTTCAAGCAACGGTTGTGAGTGAACAAACTAGGCAGTTGGTGACTGAAACGTTACAGCAGGCATCAAGGGTAGCAGAGACAGGAAACTCATCTCTCCCAGAAGTGAAAGAAGAACCACAAACCTACACCGATAGCAGCTCTTCTTCTACAGAGTCGTCCCAGAGCTCCCAAGGTGTGTATTAATGTCACATAAAATACGAATGGACTGTCTCCCAAGCATGCTAGCTAGTTTCATATAACTCACTGTGTTTCCTTTTAGCACACCCTATCTATTAGCAGTGAGTGTCATTGTTCACTTCCGTTAAGGCTTTATTTATCTTTTATGAGCTATTTATTATATGCCTCCATTTCCTATGTGAAAAGTGGAGATAATGGTTACTTGCTGGGCTCTGATTTGCTGTTCCAATGCTTGTGGCCTGCAGCCTGTTCCCTCTTTTTGGGGAGTCTGTCAGAGGTAGGCAGTGTAGCGGGTTTGGTTTTTTTTTTTTGGCAGCCCAGGCTCTGCCACCCTCTTTCCTGAGTGTATTGAAGCATCTCTCCACTGCATGACTGAAAGCTGTCATGTGACCAACATAAATTTTGGTCCTTTTATAGGCACATATATGTGCATCAGGACATATATCAGACATGCAATCCTGATGGGGATGCTGCCATGGCTTCAAGCCATGATACGGATGCAGCCCTTTGTGTGATAGAGGAGGATAAATAATAGGGCATAAATAACACCCAGCCTTTGGTCAGGAGTGACCATAAGGTGTATCACTGCATCAAATAAAAGCAGATGTCTCTCAGTGAAACGTGTGTACTTATGTGCCTTTCAATCACCTTTTCTATATAGTTCTGTAACTGTTGGTCTGTACTGCCACTTTAAGTAAATTTTAAAAAGCTTTGAAGATTCAACAAACTTATCAAAATTTAGGAGCTGTTAATTCAGAATGCTGAATACATGTTGATCACTTGAACTGCTAAAACCTTCTGAAAAAGAGTTCAATCCAAGGCAAATTCAACATACAAAGAAGCCTGCTGAACTTTGATTGTTCAAACCAAAGCTTTTGCAAGCAACTAAGATACAGGATCTTTTTTTTGCTGGAGACTGTTCATAACATCAGCAGTGTTTTACTTCAAGAATCAATTGTAATAAAAACTAAAGTGTTGCAGAATGAGAATATGCATCTTTGGCAGTGTTCAAAACACTAACAGATGAGTAACCTGGTCTAATTTTGAACTATAGCCCTGCTTTAAAGCAAGAAGTTGGACAAGAGACCTCCAACCCAAAATGTTCTATGGTGACTTGATGTGCCTTTATTCTTTTGCAAACAGATTCTCAGCCTGTAGTCCATGTGATTGCTTCAAGAAGTCAGGATTGGTCAGAACATGAGATTGCTGTGGACACAAGCCCTACAATAATTTACCAGGATGTATCCAGTGAATCTCAGTCAGCTACTTCCACAATAAAAGCTTTGCTGGAACTTCAGCAGACAACAGGTGTGAAAACACATGCGATTGTTTAGGATAACTTCAAAGGTTATTACTTGCTTAAGCAGCAGTTGTAATAAGTTTTGTAATTGAAAAGCACCTATCTTGAATCAGCTTGATTCCTTTCTTTTTACCTTGTAACAGTTTGAATCTATTATATGATGCTCACTATCTATTTAAATAAACTTTTGCATTTGTATTGGAGTTTTATTTTATTATGGAGGTTTATATATTGGAAGTTTATTTTATGTTTTTCTTTTCTTCTAAAGCAGTGAAGGAAAAGTTAGAATCGAAGCCAAGGCAGCCTACCATTGACTTGAGCCAAATGGCTGTCCCAATCCAGATGACCCAAGAAAAGAGGCATTCTCCAGAAAGTCCTTCAATTGCTGTAGTAGAGTCGGAATTAGTTGCTGAATATATCACAACTGGTAAGTGACTAAGGTAGTGCGATGGTGGGTTTGCAGCTGAAGTCTGGGGACTTCATTTTGGAGTTTTCTTACAATGGGTTTCATTTTTGTGTTTGACTATAATTTACGGTAGAGGAAATGAGTCTTTTCTTCCACTCTTGAGACCCTGCACAGGGGACAGAGATTGCATCTGCTTTGCTGTGGCATAGTGGAGAATCTTTCTAACTGAAACAAAGGTTTGCTTCAAGATATCCTAGTTGAACAGATTTTCTGTTCCCTGATCTAATGGAGAGGATAGGCTGTCCCACTTGTCTTTAAGGAAAATGTCTAGGAAAGGAAGAGTAGAAAATGAAGTTACAGGAACTGTATACTATTTTTTGTACATACCGAGAGGAGTCAGACTTTGACTTTAACCCATATTTGCAAAATGTTACTTGCTTACCAGGACTAAGTGGGTTTTTAAGCCAGGTGTGCATTTAGCGTGCTAATATAGTCCCCAGTTTCTTCATTTGCTAGAAGGCTTTGAACTGATAAATCTGCCCTTTTTAAACAAATTATTCGAATTGAAATTGTATTTGGGATTCAGCTCTTAACTTTTTAAACTCTTGACTCCTCCTATCTGGTTGTCCATTTTGCGTAAGTCCTTGACTTCCTTGTCTCTCTGATGCTCCCTGCTACCCCAGAACACTAGGGGTTAGCCACTTCCCATACATACATGAGAGGATCAAATTACCTGTTTTCCATTTTAATTTCTTAAGTCCACATTATTGGTCTCCCTACTTTATTTGGAAAATGAAGCAAAAGTGTGTTGAAAATCCGCATTGGAAAAGAGGAATAAAACTTGATTATATTAAATTGTATAAGTACATACCTGTAACTCCACTGTTTTTAGTGTTAGATGTCTAATCTGATATTTTCATTTTTCATTTTCCTGCTCTGTACCTCCTCCCCTCTCTTCCATCCCTTGTATGGTCTAACTTTAAGTTGTGTGAAATTGGAGCTGAGGCGGGGATGTTACTGTTATTCTTTTATATAACACTTACTGTATCTGGCTTCAATTTTGAATGTTTGAGTCATGCTCCCTTGGATCTCTTTTGAAACAAACTCAAAAGTACAATAAATAGTGTTAAAGTGATCTCTAATTAACAGTCAGTTGTCTTCACTGACACAGATACTGTGCATTGTGCTTCTGTTCAAGGTTCCAGTTTTTGCTGGGTCTTGCTGTAAAAATTGATGTAAAATAAGGCCCTTTGCAGGGAGGATGGGAAATTATAGTCGGTATCTTTGTAGACTTAAGTCCTTTTCTGCAGCTTAGAAGCCATACAAAGTACAAAAGTTAAAAATTTCCTTGAGCTATGATTACTATTTGAAATACTGGGATTTTTATAAACCTTGAGCTGATATACAGGAATCTAACAGAGAAATGCATGCTGCTGTGGGTTGACTAGCAGCAGTTTCTGCTACAGCACAAAAGTGGTTATTTTGCTCTTAGATTTTTGTCCCTTCCCCCAGTTTCTGTGAACACTGCCAGGGAATGCAGGTAATTGAGTTTTTCTTTTTGTTTTAATTTGTGCTTCTCAAGATTCATCAGTAATCCATGTAGCTATATTTTCTGCTAAAAATTCAGTAGTAAGATAGTAAACAGTCTATAATTTATTGTGAAATCTCCTGCATGCGTCTAGACCAAAGGATTAGGCACACTTCAGTCTATATGGGAGCTGGGATTCAGCATGTGCTTCCTCGTGAGATGAAGGGAGCAGTTCACACATCTTAGTGTCACCATTTTTTGTCTGTCTGCAGACTCAGGAAGACAACACTGTATTGGTTCACATTCGGAAGAATATCTACACAACCATATAGGTTAGAAACTTTATTTTTAATGAAGTTTTCAATTGTGCAGGAACTGTTGGGGGATATCCACGACGGATCTGGCACAGCGTGCAGGCCGGTATTGAAATAATCCAACTCCTTTCTTGGAGTGGGCAAGTAAAATTATCATATTAATTCAAAATACGACCTTTCTTTTAACTTTCAGCAAGGTCGCTAGAAACTTTTTAAGTTATGTTACAACTGAATTTAAACTTTGCTTGTTCTCCTTCAGTTATTCATTATTTTGTAACTAAAAAGTTAATTAAAGCAAATATTTACATATTAGTATGGACAGGCATAAAGTAATTTGGACTCACGTCTCATCAGTGACTGCAATATAGAATGGTTTGTGTTTTTTTTTTTTCCTCAGCAGAAGATCATTTCTCTCTCAATCCACTGTTTAATTACAGAGCCATGACCATAGCTCCATAACTCATGCTGGATCTGTTCTAAAAAGTGACATAGACCCATGACAAGGTCTCAATTTTTTGGTCTGTGATTTCTGATCAACCTCACTCGCTTTCATAATACCCAAACATTTTCTAATTGCTAATCTTTCAATTTTAGCCTATGCTCTGGAGAGTATTTCTTGCAGTTTATCAGTGGTAGAAATTCAGTGAGCAAGGCTTGCTGTTCTTAATTGCAGTCAATTGTGCAGGTGCTGTTAACAGTGTAAAAACCACAGAATAACTTGTGCTTTACAGTGTTACGCTGGTGCTGTATAAAGAACCCAGCTGAAAATCGAGTCTAAATTCTGCTTGCAAAGTTGGTTTGTTGGGAGAGGGAGGCCAGAGGAGATTTGGACCAAGTGTGATTACTTAGGAAACAGAGACAAAAGCAAAACCCCTGAGTTGCTACTTTTAAGAGGCTTCTCAGAATAGATCTACACTTTAAGGTTGAAGCTCGCATACAGTAAAAGATGTTTTTCATACTCAGATCTTTATTTCGCTCATATATGCTTTCAGTTGAAGCTTAAATGCAAAGCAAGTAGTTGAAGTTACTGCAGTTAGTTCTGGAGAAGTGCCATTGACCTCTTTACTTTCAGTCAGTCATCGGTCCCAGCCCCACCAGCAGTCATCTCAGCCCCAGAGGACTCTGCTGCAGCACGTGGCTCAGTCGCAGACAGCAACGCAGACTTCTGTTGTGGTGAAATCTATCCCCGCATCCTCCACAGGCGCAATTACCCATATCATGCAGCAGGTTGTACCCTTTCTTTTCGCAACAGTCTATAAACAGCAGTAGGTTATATGAATTATATAGGACCAGGGCTTGCTCTGAATGAATGTGTCATGTTGCTGCCACTGAAAATGCTAAGTGTAAGCGCAAATTAATAACTTAATTTTAATATTACCTGTTTTGATGGTGAGGGTGGTGGGATAAAAGGGAAGCAGTTAATGAGATTACTTGAGACTGTTAAGTAAGAGGTATTAAGAGCCACTGTGGAAAAGATCGTGCTTCTTAGATGAGCTCTTGCTGTCTGTATGTCATCTCTTCAACAGAAAGGAGCTGCTTTTTTCTATATGTTGTATTACAAGGGCCTAGGCTCTTATGTTGGTGTTAGTGTAGGGGGAAGAGGGATGAAGCAGAATCTGGTCAGTACACAGTGTCTTTTTCGTTGGAGGGCTTTAGTTTGTGAATAGGCAAACTTCTCTGAATCAAAAAGTAAGATCATACTTAGACCAATACTGTGAAGATCCCAAACACTTCAAACAAATGGTGTAGCTTGTGGTGAAATCTTACTGAAGCCTTTGTCAAAGACCTGCTCAACTCTGCAGTGCTTTAACTTCTAGGAACTTCAGCTGTGGATCAGGACAGTTCTGTGTTAGGGTTATAAACCCACTTCAGAGAGTGTATTTTCAAGGTATTTGAGTAGGCTGCTTCATCTTGCTAAGGCCATTTATTAATACGTTTATACCATGGTATACAAAGCATAGTAACGTAGATCTCTTGCTCCCTCAAATCCCTCAAAAAATCAAACAATGTTTGTGCAATGCCCAAGAAAAATTGCAATAAAATTTTGAGGAAGGAAGGAGAAGAGAGGATCTCTGCTGAAGTAGGGTAGATTGTAGGTATATGGGGAGCTGCAGAAGAAATGGAGAAGATGACGAGGCTCTCAAAAGGCAGAAGAAGAATTTATTGTGCAGAGGGACTCTGGCTTTAATGAGGAAGTACTGGTTCAACCACCTGCTAATCCCTGCTGCTTCATATCCAACTGCCATGCAACCTTAGGGGCTTTGAACCTTAGTCTGACACACGCGAGGGCTACATAACTAATCCTCGGTGGATGTTACGCAGTTAATGTTGTCACATAGAGATGTACCACATTTTAACATTGTAAAAATAGCTATTGATTGCTTACGTATTGTGGAATCTCCACGTAAGGGTTTCTTTTTATACATGAATTAAGAGTCTGTAATGGTAAAATAAGTTAAAGTAGTCCAGTTGAATCATTAAAAATTATTTTTAGATTGTGTATTCTTACAATTATATTTCTCTTTACTAACTTGCTCTAACTTCTTCTTATTAAGGCCTTAAGCAGTCACACTGCATTTACCAAACACAGTGAACAACTTGGAACTGAGGAAGGAGAAGTGGAAGAGATGGACACCTTGGATCCTCAGACTGGCCTGTTTTACAGATCTGCCCTGACACAATCGCAGGCACAAAAACAGCAAAAACTGAGTCAGCCACAGCTGGAACAGACTCAACTGCAAGTGAAAACTCTGCAGTGTTTCCAGACTAAGCAGAAGCAGACAATCCACCTGCAGGCTGATCAAATCCAGCACAAACTCCCACAAATGCCCCAGCTTTCTATAAGGCATCAAAAGCTAACCCCCCTGCAGCAAGAGCAAGCACAGACCAAACCAGATGCACAGCACCCCCCACACCACATGATGGCCAAAGAAAGGCAACTCCCTACCTTAGTGGCACAGCCACAGCAAACTGTAGTACAGGTGCTTGCAGTAAAAACCACGCAGCAGCTGCCCAAACTGCAACAGGCACCAACGGCACAAAAAATCTACGTGCAACCCCAACCCCCCCAGAGTCAAATGCAGCTACCTGCCTCTTCAGAGAAACAGCCAGCAAGCCAGGTAACGGAATATTGATAGCATGCAAAATACACGTCGCTGTTCAAGGAAAAAAAAAAAAAATATCAAAACACCAACCCTGTCGCTGTAGCAGTGTTTTGTCCTGGCAAGAGAGAACTCCTCATTCCGCTGGTATTAATTACCCCATCAGAAGGTTGACACTAGGAAAGAGAAGCACATGTTATAGGGGAAGAATCCATAGAGCTCCAAAACAAACGTGTTTTGTTGGACAGTTTTTATGAATTTCTGCCACCACTGGTGCATGGAATTTGTCCCTAATTATTTTCTTTTAATTTTTAGATATGACACGTTATTAATTTCCGTTCCCGTAGCACTTTTTATTTCTGTGGAAATAAAGATGAATACACTGCAGTCTCCTAAGGCTCTCCATTGTACGTCTTCCTTTGTAGTTTACATCTTCCTGAAGTTATATGGCTTTCATGTACAGGAGTAATTCGATTTTTCTTTGGAGGGGAAAATGAAAAGACTGAGGAACGTGAAAAAAAAAAATGTATTTTAATTAACTCCAGAAAAGTACGATTTTTTGGGGTGTGGTGGTTTTTTTTTTTGGCCCTTTCAGAAATACATGTGAAAACAAGAGGGTTAACAAACATCACATGGGGATGTAAATCCCAAAGGAAAATGAGGCTGCTGTGGTATTATACTGCTACAATCCATATCTAGCAGCCTAAAAAGCTGCTTTTCCCCAGGCTTCAATTAACTGTTACCGTATCATTGCTAATTCCTTTGTTAAAACACTTGAGTTTCAACTGTCTTCCTAATAGCAAGTATGTTGTTTGTGCCATACTGTCCTTGGAAATATTGATTAGATTTTCAATAAAAAAAAAAAATCTAGCTGTAACATGCACAACAAAAATTTGATTTTCAGGTGCAGCATCCAATTATAATGCAAGGATCCACTGTTACAAAGATAACTTTTGAGGGGCATCAGCCTCCTTCTGTTTCAAAGGTAGCAGGTGGCAGTTCTGTGCCCAAACTGGCATTGCCGGTTACCAGCCTATTTCCCATGCAGGCATCCGCGAAGACAGCAGTAGCAGATATTTTGAGAGTGTCTATGGTGGAAGCTCAGATTGATACAAACGTAGAACATACCATAGTGGATCCCCCAAACAAGGCCACGTCCACTAGTAAACTCGCTAGCGAAGCAGAGTCGTCACCTTGTACCCAGGTGCCGAGGGTGACTGCAGTAGGGATGACGGCAACTTCCATCCCCCAGCAACAGACATGTACAGAATCCAGTTCAAGTCCTCCTGCTGTTGGTCCTACTTTAACAGAGTGGAAACTCGATGCACAAGGAATGCCTACAACAAACCAGTTTATACACATTCAGAATATATCACAAAAGAAAGCTGAAGAGAGTTCATCGGAAATTGTTACCCAGGTAAGAGAAGACCAGAGCAAATAAGGCAAAGGTTGAGCAGAGCAAACTCGTGTCTAATGTGATGATAGCAACTGAACGATGTTCAAGTATTTTGCTTTCCTTCTTCAGTTTTTGGTTCATTTTTCTACTCTTATACTTGTCATGGATTACTACTTCAAAGTGTGTAATTCTTAAATTGAGCTGGAGTTTCTCTGGCACTGTATCATTCACTGTGTCCTCGGTGTCTTCCTTTCTTTTTCTGTTAAGAAAACAAACCAAGCTCATCTAATTTTACAGAGTACTTTCATTTGAAATGCTTAAAAATGTGACCTTCACCACTTGCTATGGAACTATGGTCTAGAATTTTTTTTATAGAATCTATTAATGTTACCTCCGAGTACAAAATTAGCACAAAAAATGAAGTAGTGGGGTTCTACTTATGGGGAAGGTTCAGCAAATTAGGTCTGGATTCAGAAGAAAGCTTGTTAACTTCACTTATAATCAGTTTTGTCACTTCTGAGATAAAATGACTATTGATCTTTAGCCTAAATGCTGTGAGTCATTGCGAAACTGATGATTGATATTTTCCTTGATTCTGCTGTCTTAAATATGATGTTTCATGATGTAATACATGGTCAGAATGTCAACTGAGGAAGTATTTAAGTCATCCGAGGACTCATAGTGGTATAATATGAATCTTTGTAGATGAGTTGGCATTGTATATGTTCACACAAATGATAGCGTGGATTGAAATGGTTTTGTTGTGTATGGTATTTGTGTTGCAGTGAAAATACTTCTGATGTGGGAAAGTAATTTGTGTACAGAGCTTTCAAATTTTTCACGCTACTTTGTAAAATCTTCGTTGCAGCTATCTTCGCTTTTGTAGAAATCATCATTTTTGTACTCATTTTTAGTCCTCATTTCCCTAAATAGACAAAGGTAGATTTCTATTTTACTTCAAATCTGTATATTTTGAGAATCTGTATTGTTTATCATTGTGGCATGCTACGAGCTGTTTCAAAAGCAAAATAACTGCCCAGAATTTCAGTTGTTTAAAGTTGTAGATTTAGTTTCTAGAACCTATGAAAGCATAAGCAGAAATAAATAGCTTAGATCCGTTGTGTTTCCTCAGCCTCTATGCTGCTGCAGCTCTGAGCAGGGCTGGAGCTTATATTGTGTCATATACAAAAGACATAGCTAGTCCTAATACCTGAATGTCTTGTCTGAAAAAGACAAAAAGATAAGGCTGAAGAAAGTGTTAGTTCTGGTTTGCGTTTGGGCAACGATGGATGGTGGGCATCGGTGGTGTAGCTGTTGGTTATGCTGTCACAGACCTTTAGGGAAGATCCAAGGCCAAGATCAGTGCCTTAAGAGCAAGATTATTCAAATTTTATCTTTCACAACCTAATCCAGTGAAAGGGTGCTTTGAAGCTTTAGCTAATGTAATGTAACGTGCAAGGGGCCTTAGCTAGAGAAAATAGCTCTTGGAAACTGAGCATCCCTTTTCCATGAGTACCTGTGCTTGCACAGATGCCTTTACCTGTGAAAACTGTGCATGTTAAAACTTAAATTTTCTCTTTCTTTCAGACTATCCCTCACTATTCCATCCCTTGTCACTCCAGCTCCAATGTGGTAGTGGAACCCAGCGGGCTCCTGGAGCTCAACAACTTCACCAGTCAGCGCCTCGACGATGAGGAGACGGCAATGGAGCAAGATGTGGACAGTAGCACTGAGGACGGCACTGAGCCCAGCCCCTCTCGAAGTTCTGCTGAACAATCCTAAGGAATTGGGACACTGGAGTGCACTTTAAAATATCTTGGGATTTTGAGTATCCAAGATGCCCTTGTATTGTGATGTCTTAGAGCACTTTGCCTATTAGAGTTGTTCATTGGACCCTTGAAGCATCAGTGTGTTTTAACAAGACGGTATTGCAAAAGCTGCATCTTAAAAATTGTTTCCAAAAAAAAAAAAAAGATGTAGTTACTGAGATTTAGTAAACCTGTGACAGTGGAATATACTCCTGTTAAAAAGCAAATCTGCAGCGAATTCTACAGCTCGTGCTATTGAAGCCCTTGCCCAGATACTGAAACAGCTTTCAGTGAAAAGGGATTGTTATTTTGCTGTATCTTTTTGTTAGCTGTTGAGCAAAACACCATCAAAAAAAAAGAGAATGTTTAATAAATATTTGTATTTTTAAATAGCATGTGAGAGAAAAAGTGTCTCTGGCAGTGCTGGAAAAGCCCCAGGAATTTTGGAATTGGTCAGCTTTCTTGCACTTGTGCTCACTTAAAAGTTAAGATTTTTTCATAAGCCTAAAAATATAGTTTATTTTTTTTAAATTCTTGTTGATGGATGTTTGGAAATAAGCAAAATCACTAACTGGTAGCAAAGTGGACTTGCTAGTGGATTTTTGTTTTCATGCTTTACAAGAAGTAGGGTAACGGTGTATGAGGCATTTCTTTGTGCCATAAGCATGTGAAATGCTCATCTGTTCTAGTTAATCTTTGATTATTTATTTAAATATAAAATCTAAAGTGAGGCCAAGTTGTTTAAAAAGTTCCTGTGAAACAGGCAGGTGTGTTAATTCTAATACAAACGGGGGGGGGGATGTATTTTGCTATAAATCAGTTTTTCAAAATTGGGGATAAGTGGTTCAGCATCTTTCAAAGTTGAACCTCTGAATATAGAAGTGAGCTAAGGCTTTTAAAAATCTGTATTTTACTCTTACATGCTGTTTTTAAAGTGACCATTTTGGGAGTTTAAAAGCTTAAATCGGTATACAGTGGTAGGTTTCAGAAATTAGCCTTATGACTTGGCTTGTTGAAGCAATACATTGGGTTTTTGTGATAATTCCAAGCTACAGAGAGGTTTGGGTTCAGATGGGATGAGAGAACCAGTTTTAATACATTCTGCTAATGAAGACAATACTTTTTTTTTCCCAAATGTATATAAAAACATGTTTTTAACTGTTTTGTATAGATTTCATTATAAATAACTAAGCATTTTAAGACTTTGACATATCATTTAATTGTATATACATCTATCAGCCTAACTGCCCACTTTTTGGTGCTGAAGTACTACTATAAGTAGATTTCATCCAAAGTCTAATACAGCTTTTTGCGTCAGTCTTTTTTTTTTAAGCTGTGATTTTACTGTTGATATTGTAGTTAAGATTAAATTCCAACTAGAGTAACTCAAACTAAAAATACAAAACCTAAAAAACCATTTATCTTGTCCTGAGTACCCACCTATGTAAGAACATGCAGTAACCCCTAGATGGTGCTGTTGGTTTTTATCTAACCTCAGTTATTTTATAAATTAAGTCCCTATGACTTTCATACACTTTTTTTTTTTTTCCCCTTCTGTTTTCTTTTCCGCCAGCATTAGTTCCAACATAATGTAGTTTATTATGGTGGAGAAGTGTCCTGATAAATTCAGCGTGCAAATGCTGGAATAGTGGGTTAGGAAACTAATTATTTTTGCATTACGTTTATGTTGGAATAGGTATTGGTTTGGTTTCTGCTGTACTTGGTGCTCAGGATGGAAGAGAATAATACATATGAAATGAAACACACCATATTTCTTTCTCTAGTTAAAAAAAAAACAAACCCTACCAGTATGCCATTCTAGGTGGTTCAGGTTTTGATAGTTGTTTGAGAGCTTTTACTCTTGTTTTAGCGAAATAATGGTGACCAACAAGAGTGACCAAGTTATGATCTGAGTCCTGGAAGCTCCACATTGCTACAGAATGACAAAAAGTGATTTAATACAGGTTTTACTGCCAGTGGGATTGGACAGTCTGTTGTGCTTTGCAGATGCCAGCATAAGGCACAGTCTGTAGTTTTCCATATGCAGTTGTGAAAAGCCCAAAGCAGATGACGCACAGTTCTTCTGGCTTGTATCAGATTTTCATTGTCACCTGGAGTCTTGCAGTATTTTGAGTGTCCCTGGCATATCTAGGACTGAAAGGCCATGAGAATATAAAGTAGAGCAAGATTTTTCTTAAGCGCTCTTGCCCAAGAACTTTGCCTTAAATTATGGTTTAGGTGAATGTATATGCTCTCTCCAGCCAAAAAGGGATACTAAGAAATGGCATGAGGTGAATTTGACACTCCTAATGCAGTAAGTATATTGCTGAGTTCTGGTGCACTTCATTCCGATGTTTTATGTGAGACTTTTGTTTGCATCTTTAGTGATGACTTCACAGCAAAGGTATGAACAACTACAGTGAACTATTTTGACAATTCCTTGAAGACAGCAAATCTCTTTTTAAAAACACGAAACCTTTTAGTGTTGCTATGAGAGATAATTGTTTTCAGATTGGCAAATTGAAGCACGTGGTGGGGGTATCTAGGGGCCATGTAAGAAATTTAGAAAAAGGACTTTTGTAATCAATGCCTTCATTCTTGAAAGTCCTCTCTTGATGCTTTCCCAAATCGAGCTGAATTTTTTCAGATTCTCTTATTTAATTTGTCTGTTCCAGCACTTCACCATATAAATACCTTTAATAATAAGGAATATACAAGATGAGCTAAAATTTAGCGTCAAGATGTTCTTTTTTTTCCTAGTTACTTCATTTCTGAACAACTGTAAGAAGACATGCTTGGAGTATTTGGCCTTCTCCACCTTTTCATGAACTCCAGGCAGCACTGCCTGTTCCTTGTCCTGCCCTACAGATGTGCAGATTTTTCATACCTGCCCCTGAGACACTTACTTCATCCTACTGCAGCCATGTATCCACTCCTCACAGCCTTATAAATATCACTGAGCTGCTAAAAATAAAACATCAGTGTGTAAGATAACATTTGCATATCCCTTCTCCCTAATAAGCTGCATCTTCCTTCCTGAAATGAATTTGATGTCCCTCCTTGGAATAGAAGAAAGGTGAGCTGTGGTGATGATGGTGATCTTTGGTAGTAGGAATTAGCAGGTAATAGGCGTGTAACTCGGGAAGCTGTGGGTGACTTGGAGAGCAAGTAAAACAGCATTAAAGGGTCTCTTTGATTTCAGCATTTTAACAAATGCACTCTGGCACGGCAATAGTACGTACATGAATTTTCAAAAAAGGATGCTAAGAAAGTGAAACGAAGTTAGAGGAAGCACTGAAACAAGGGAGGAGTTATGTGCACTTTAAAGATGTGTGCAATCATAGAGGACTACGTGTTTTCTGGAAAGATTTAACCAGAGGAGTTATGTGCACTTTAAAGATGTGTGTAATCATAGAGGACTACATGTTTTCTGGAAAGATTTAACCGTCAGGGTAGAAGTATTTTCAGCCTCAGTCTTTCTCCACTGACAAAACAAGCTTTTGAGATTTTGGGGCAAAATAGAAAAAGAGAAGCTACTTGCGGTTGTGTCATCTGACATGTGGAGGACCCTCTGAACAGAATGCATGACTAAATAGGTGGGATTTAAAAAACAAAAAAACACCTAACACCTAACACATTTAAAAAAAATCTAAAGTCAGGGAAACTTAAGACTATGTATGTGCTTTTGTCTCTAGTGTAGAAGTAGTTCCCGAAGTCTAAGGGTTTCACAGACGAAGGTGGTTATGCATCCCCATAGGTAGCCTGCAAAGGCAGATGGTTTCAGCTTGGCAATGTTCAATCCAGAGAAGACTCTGATCATAATTTAAGATAATGAACTAGAAAAATCTAGACGATTTAGAAGTTTGCCTGTCTTGGAAAAATAGTATGTTTAGCACCTGTGTGTCTATGCTGGGCTCAGGACTTGCTCCTTTCCCTAGGTTTGATGTAAACCATGAAGAATGATTGCTAACAGCCTGTGCAAAGTTTCCTTCCGTGCTCTGGGGCTTGAAGTTTTCTCCTACCCCAAGTACTGCCATCTGTGAATCTGGTTTCTTCCAGGAGAAATGCAACGCATAGCTTATGATAAATTTAGAGCTTAACACAGTTCATCAAAGAGAAAGTTAGGGAAGAAGTACCTTAAGATGTGTTTGTGGGTTCCTGTGCAAGAAGAAATTGTCAGTAGAGGCATTTTAGTCTGGTATAGAGGCATAGAAATGGGAACTTGGAAAAAATCAATACCAAGATTGAGGATAATTTATTAGGGTTACCAGGGAGTGTTGTGTTTTCTGTCATTTGGAGTCTTTTCTCTCCAACAAGCCGAGAGGCTGCGGGCTGAAATCCAGTGACCTGATATCTCATATAGTGGCAGTGAAACCAGACGGTTGCGTTGGTATCTTAAAGCTTTGAACCATGGGAAAAAAAAAAAAAAATTAGAGCTTGGTGGTACCTTGAGGCAGGCAGAGCTGTGACTGGCAACTGGAGGTGGTCGATGATCTTGGATGGGTTGCGGTGGTGGTGGGTTTTTTCCTCTTTCACTGTACTTGAGTGAAAAGTCGCTGAAGTGTTGTAAATAGGATAATAAGTACCTGGGAACTCGTTCATCAGTTCTAGAGAAAAGGGTCTTTGAATTATCTGGGGCAGGAAAGATACTAACATATTTTTAAGTATTTGAGACTGAAGAGTAACAGCATGGCCTTGAATCATTTTTGGAGTCCAGGGCTGTTAGAATTGTCCGATAAATACAACCCCAGATCAGGTCTTACTCAAAACTTCATATGATTTTGGTTTTGCCCAGTACTTGGCCGCTTTTGAAAAACAGAGTTTTTTGTGATGATATCTTGATGTTTTTCTCAGCTTTCCATTTCTCAATAAGTTTTTAGCAGTTTTGAAATTTTCTGGGATCCCGTTTTCTGTAGCTGCCTTTATTAAATGGATTTTGTCATAAAGAAAAGATACTCATATCGCCTAACTGGAGGTGGGTAATCAGGACCTTGGGCTCTTTGCGTTATCACTGAGCCCTTCAGAGTGTGGTAGGCACGTCGGCCAGTCTCTCATGGACTACGTATGGGATTTAGACTCCATAGAATGGTTTGGGTTGGAAGGGACCTTTAAAGATCATCTAATCATGTCACTTGAATGCCCAAACTACCTAGTATGGAGCTGGGATGG